ATCTGGCTACTTGTAGGTGGATAGGAAAGTAAATAAATGAAAGAATGTAGATCTTGGTCAATGAATGAAATGATCTGTCTGTGCTGGAAGGACTCTTCACCAGGGTCAGGAACACTGGAAATGTTCAAAACTGGAAGAGTGCAGAAGTCAGTGGGAAGAGATGGCCTAAAGGTGCCAAAGAGGTGGGAAATGGAGGCTCTGGTTTAGCTCTGGAGGAAGGCTAGTGTCACTCCTAAGATGGGGTAGCTGTGCTGGATGGCTGCTGGTTATGGCCCATCCCTGGTGATTCAGATCTGGAGATAAGGGGGAGAGGCTGGAAGCTTCAGCAGAAAGAAGTAGAAAAATGCCCTGCAGCATTTCCTGGGAAGTGGGAAGGTGTGTAGACTCAGAGTAGATATGCAGAGAAATGGATATGGGAGTTGGGCGTCCAGCCCTGAAGAGTTTGAGGCTGCAGCCCTATGTGTTCCAGGGACAGTCGCCATCCCCAGCTCTGGGCAATCAGCTTATATCAGGCTGGAAGGGAGCAGAGGCAAAACAAGGATGCATGGAGCTGGGCACCAGCTGTGGCTGGCAGCAGGGCCAACCTGCAGGCTTGAGGCTTGGGTTGAGGAACCTGGCTGCTGCCTTCCATCAGACTGGTGGGAGGATTCACAGCTGTCTGGACCCAGCTTTAGTATGGTGTAACAGTGACTGGGACCAAAGGGGCTGTGCCCATGGAGGGTGTGGAAAAACTTAGGAGGAGAGGAAACTTGGCAGGTAAACCAGGAACCCACGTGTGTGCGCGTGTGCACAAGTGTGCTAAGTATGGCTCTGCTGTGTGGTTTCTGTTGTCTGCACAAAAGGGAAAGATTTTTTTTTTTATCTCCCTCCTAGAAGGAAAGAAGGCTTTTTGAAAAGCACTGGCAGAAGGAAAGCCAAGGCAGGGGGGAATTCATTCACTTTTTCTTCCCTCAGATCATTTGGCACCTTTGTGGAAGGAACCCTTTGTAGAAGGGGTCTTGTTTCTGTCCATCTGCCAACCCATTCCTCCTTGGGTTAATGTTGGAGCTTCCAAGACGGACCAACTGGGAAGCCAGGCTTCTCAGCCCTGGCAGCCCAAGGCTGGCCATTCCCCGGCAATTCAACCATTCCTCCTCTCAGAGCAGAACATGCCCTGACACCTTTGCCTTGAACCGAATTGCGTTCAGGAGCCTGGGTTTGCCCACACATGTTAAAGGTATGGCTGGAGGCAAAAAGAAAGGAAGGCTCCAGCGCAGAGGAAAAAGGGAGCCATTAGCAGAGCCCAGAGCTGAGCACTTGCACCCAGCAATGATGAGGAAGGCAACCTGGCTATCTCAGCAGTGGGAACCCCAGAAGAGTTCCTTCCCATCCAACATCTGGCTTTTTAAGCCAGGACTTATCTTTCTTGGTTGGATGACCCATCCCAAAGATACTGACTCCATCAGCCAGGAGCTTCTTGCTGTGGCACTGCAGCTACTTGGGCTGATGTTGATGAGGTCTGGAGTGGAGAGAGAAGGAGAAGGGCTAGGCACTGTGCTGTGACATAGTGAGTATAGTGACACTGGGGCAGCAGAGCTGCTTGGTAACCAGGTTTTCAGGTGTGAAACATGTGCAGGACAATTCCACCCTGCCAGTTTTTAGGCAGAGAGGCAGCTGAGGAGAGGAGCTTGGGCTTCTCCTCCAAATCTCATTCATTCTTTGCACTACTGAGAGGGGATATTATCTTGGTGCTCCTTCCAGCTTGCCCACAGTGTGCCAGGATCTCCAGGGAAGTGAGCTTCCAAAGCCAGGGAAGAAGTTTGCCAGCACTGGTTTGAGAGCATTTGTACGCACAGGTCCTGTGTTATGGTTAATGTGTGAGGGATGTGGGCATCTGCTCCTGAGGGGTGAACTGTAGTCCTCCAGATTTGCCCTCTGATTATTGCAGCATGTTTCTTCCTGCCACAGGTAGCTCATCAGATGCCAGCTGCTGGCTTGAGGAGCGGGATGCAAACAAGGCATGCAAGTAACATGCTCCAGCATCCAGTGTGTGCTCTGAATAGCTGTACAGGAAGAGGAAGTGTTCCTTGTGGAACAGGGTAGAGGCTCCACCTGCATGTAGGTAGTGCTCAGGATAGGGAACAGCTGTTTGAAGGGCATGAAAATCTGCACTGGGGCTTTACCCTGCAGCTGGATCCTGGGTGGTGAAGGACCACCTGATGTGATACACTGAGGATTTCATTGGAGCACCGTGACCAAGAGGAAATGAGGAATCCCACAGGATACACTCTGTTCAAGCCCAGGCAGCCAGTCCATGATTGTGGTGTAATTCATCTAGGATGATGGCAGGACCAAGGCCTGCCTTGACCCATCTCTGCACCCAGCAGCAGATGCTTCAGGGAGAGAGGCTGTGGCAAAGGTAGAAGGGTTACCACAGCCTCCATCAGTGTCCAGCTCAGGTGCTTGCAGGCTGACGTTACTCATGTGGGGACATGAGCACCGAGGAAGGCTTGGCATAGCATGTGGGGAATTTTGGCCCCAAACCCAATAGCAACAAAGTTCCTGAACCCAGGCAGCAAAGGTGATCAGTGAGATGTTCAGGCAAGAAATAACGAGATCTACAGAGTTGCTCTGGTCCAATTGAAGCAGTGATCAAAAGGAATACAAAATTAAGAAAAATGTAGGGAATGCACATAAAGATGTGACCTGGGGCAAGTCATTTCTGAAGAAACACTGAATCAGAGTTTCTGTGATTGTTGGATGTGCAACACCAAAGCTGAAGGAAAGCGGGTTTAATTGAGAAGTAGCCATGAGATATGTGGTAGGACATGAAATAAAATAGTGTGTAACTTCTCTGAGTGAGTGGTTGGGCAGTGGCAGAGCTGCCCAGGGAGGTGATGGGTCACCATGCCTGGAGGTGTTCAAGGAATGTGGAGATGTGGCACTGAGGGATGTGCTCAGTGGGCACTGCTGGTGGCAGGTAGATGGTTGGACTTAGTCATCTTTCCAGCCTTGATGATTCTATAATTCTCTGTGGGGACTACGGTGTCTGCAGTGACCTACACAAATAATTACCTGCTGTGCCATTGCTTTGCACCTGAGCAGCTGGGAGGCAGCATTAACTCAGCTCCTCTCAGACCACACTTGTGTCCTCCCTCTGTCTGCTCTGAACTTGGAGGAACAAAACATCTTTGAGCTTTAATGCCCCATTGAATCAAGCAATAACTAACCAGTAGGTCCAGAAATTAGAGGGAGAGAGTTCAGGTGCTCCCCCTCCAGGTCTCAAAGGTTTTCCTCATGCATTCTTTCTGTTGGAGGTGCAGCTGTCACTCCCATCCTCTCTGATGAATGCAGGTGGGAGGATGCTCTGTGAACTGCTTTGTGGCACTGCCCTGAGGACTGCAACCAACCCATGAAGTGAATGATCTCTGCCTGTGAGTGCTCTGCAGCACTTGAGCCAGGTGGTGCTTGTGTCATGCTGCCTTTGGATCCAGAGCTTGACGTTATTTTTCTGTTTTCTTTCTTTTTTTTTTTTTCCTGTGTTTGCAAACCATGTCCTCAGTCAGCACTAACCACAGGGAGAATTTCCACGTGGAAAGTACAGCCATGTTCCTTTACTGCTGAGCAGGCTCTGAAAGGCTCAATTTCAGCTATAACAGGGAGATGGCTGTTCTCATCCACCGTCTGGGTCTGCAAGTTTAAAAAGGCCAATTTATTCCTCAAGTCCTGATTTAACCCCAGGTATGGCGTTTGCCCCAAGGCAGTGAAATTCCAGCAACCTGATACTTCAGGCTGTGAGCTTCTAAGGGTTAAGAACAGCCTGGCTGCAGCCTTCTGTGGTGGCTTTGATGCTGCCTTGCAGGCAGGACAGCTGTGCTGAGTTGGATCCTTTGGGCTCTGCCAAATTGCTGAGACATGAACATCATCTCCTCAGATGGGACACAGCTTTGGAGATGGATCCTTTCTCCTCCTTGAGCTGTGATAACTGGTTCTGCTGATGGAGCTGCTGGCTTACCCAGCTGATTTTGGAGAGGAGGGCTGGGATGCCTTCTCTTGCATTGGAGCTGTGGCTGGAAGGAGTGCAGCTGCATCTCGGTGCAGCAGGAGGAGCTCCTGGCTGAGCAGGCAGCCATCCCCATCTTCTGATCCCACAGCACCTATCTGAGTGCATTGTGCTAAGGGATGAGATGCACAGGGATGTCATGGCCTAACTCTTTGCCATGTGGATATTTTTAGCCTGTGTAATTGCCAGTGTTTATTTTCTACTGTTGTGCCTTTTCACTTTTTCCAGCAGCTGGCACGTCAGTTTCCAGGAGAATCTGTTGAGGTTTCCCATCATTACATGTATAGCCAGCAGGAGTGTAGCTTATCCCAGGCACAACTATTTGGCAATTACTTAGCGCCTCCCAAAGTCCTCTGTTAACGTTGCACTCTGCAAAGCTCCCTCCCGTGTGCCACAGTCTGTGCAGTTCTCAGCCTTGGCATAAAGCGTGGCACTGAGCCCATCTTCCTTCCTGAAATGTAATTTCCACATTGATGCTTTCTTGGAGATTGTTGGATTGAGGGAGCCGAGCATTTTCCATAGGTATTCCAAATCACAGAATGGATTGATTTCATAGGATGGAAAAGACTCCTACGATCCCCAAGTCCAACCGCAGCCCATCCCACCATGCCCACTGATCACATCCCTCAGTGCCACATCTCCACAGTTCTCAAACACCCCCTGGGCAGCTGTGCCACTGCATCACCACTTTTTCTGAGAAGACATTTCCCCCAATATCCAACCAGAATCTCTCCTAGCACAGCTTAAGACCATTCCCTTTTGTCCTACTGCTATCTTGATGAAGACCCTGAATATTCAGCACCTCTGGGGTCTTGGAGGTCAAACCTGAGATGTGTGGAAGTGTTGTTTCTGTAGGATCCGCGTGCTGCCCTCCTCCCAGTTTGGGGTGGGAAGAAACAGAGGAACACTGCAAACTCGTTCTGCATCAGTGTTTCAAATCAGTATTTTTTTATTACAGAGACTCATTGGGTTGCTCACACTGTGGCAGAAACGTAATAATATAAGGCACAGGGAACATTCAGAGGTAAGAAAAAGAGTTCTCAGCCTGTGAGACTTAACCACCCCTTCACTCTTATCAGAACTCTTTCCATAAAGCAAAATCCAAATACTTTCTCCCTTCCCACCCATCACTCAACCCAGAAATCCACACCAGGAGGGAACAGTGCACGGTGTGTGTGTGTGTGGCACACGCAGCTCCCCTGGGATTTAAGGATGGAATTTAAGGATGACCAAAGCAGAGGTGGGATGTGCTTGAGGACGCTGTGATGTGGGACAGCCAAGCGCCTTATCTCAGCTGCAGCAGAACCACAAGAGCCAGGCCAGCCACCAGCACCCACGTCTGCACCGCATCGCCCCTTACAGCACGCAGAACACAACTGCAGTACAACTGGTGAGTAATGGTAAAGCATGAAGCACTTTCAAACCTTTATTTTTCAAGGGGGTTTTACAGGATGGGATGTATTCGTTTCATTTGTTTTTTTCAGTATTTTTTGTGTGCTTCCCCGCTTGTTTCTTGGATTAGCCCTTTGTTTTGGTGCCCGGTGATTGTTAAATTCAAACCCTGGGAATGAAACTTATAAAGGGCGGGGGGGGGGGGGGGAAAAGGGACCAAAAAGCAAAATGACATCCTGCCTTTTTGTGCCTTCCTCAGCTCTCCCCATACCACGAGCCGGGTGGCCGCAATGTCACCTGCAGCTGCTCTGCTCAGAAAGCCCCATTTCCTCCATCCTCTGACTCTGCCTTCCCTGCATGCGGGCAGTCTGTGCTGTTAGTCAGCAGTTAACAGGAGTTGCTCTGAGAGCAGATAGGAGATGGAGAGGATATTTAGGACAGGAACAGGGTTGGTCAGTTGTGAAGACACGTTGGAGAGAGAGTGAGAGCAGGTGGAAGTAGCTGGTGGGTAATCTAGTGGTAACAGGTTAGCTATGAAGGACTGTTATTTCTCTTAGCACCAATACTACATACGTTTAGACCTATATTAGCACCTTGTTCCCAGGGAAAACAAAACAAAAGCGGTTCAAAAACCGAAGGAAGTGGGAAGGTTAAAACAAGACAAAGTTGGCAGCAGAGGAGGAAGCTGGGGCTTTAGATCACCAGATCCTTGTCTATGTCCTCTGTGAAAGGAAAAGAGAGAGTTGAAGTTAGAGGATAATGCAGGAAAGACCTGGAAGGGTCTTTCCTGCACCCCCTCCCCACTTTTCCCCTGCGCTCCAGTCCCAGGGACCATTGCTTCATCTCAATGGGGGCTTTTAGAAGGGGTCTGCAGGCAGGTACTTACGCTCCTTAATGCCAAAGCAGCTGGCCCATTCCTCCAGGGCGATGTATTTGTCATTGTCCAAGTCGCAGGCCTCAAAGAAGCGGGTGGTGCAGTGCTCCATGGGGATGAGTGGGGCACGGAGCGGGGCCAGCTCAGTGTGGGACAGGTACCTGCCAAGGTTCCATACTGTCAGCATCTTGCTGCTGGCTATGGGAGCCAGAGTGGGACCCCAGCCCTCGCTTTGTGAGGTGCTGGAACAGGCTGCCCAGAGAGGTTGTGGATGCCCCATCCTAGAGGTGTTCAGGGCCGGATTGGATGGGGCCCTGGGCAGCCTGGTCTAGTATTAAATGGGGAGGTTGGTGGCCCTGCATGTGGCAGGGGGATTGGAGATTCACTGAGGTTCCTTCCAACCCTGGCCATTCTGTGATTCTGCCAGTGCCCTCCCAGCATCCACTACTGAGCACTGTCACAGATGTGGGTCTGCTTATGCAGCTGGCTGTGCTAGTCATTAAAGAGCCTGTGATGGAGGTGCTCACTGGCTGTCCCCTCCATGGGGCTGTGTGTGCAATCATTCCCAGACACGCGTCCAGCTCACAGCTTAGCCAGCAGCCGCTCTTTCAGCTGTTGAAGTTATTATCCCTGTGGCCTTTGGGCAAAGGTGTTTTAGGGAACTATCACCCAGCAGTAAATCTGAGAATGCTAAAACTCCACCCAAGGAAGGTGGGAGCAACTGGGGCCCCTCTTTCTGCAGCAGAGCTGTTAGCAGAAGGTAAAGCTGCCTCTTCCCCAGCTTCACCCCAGCCCCTGCCAGATGTGCTCAGCTCTTGTTCTCCATCATACTCATGTCACGCCTCCAGTTTGCTCCAACTCCTGCTACCACCAAACCACCTTGGGCAGGGAGAGGTGCCAGGTACCCATCCCACTCTGCCAACGCTCACCCATCGATGGGGTGCTGGTCCAGCTGCCCAAACTGCCAGTGCACGGGGAAGATGTACATGTTGTAGTTCTTCTCAAAGTCGCGGGCCAGCAGCTCCACGGTGTGGTCACCAGCCTCCAGGCGCTTCTCATTCTCGTGGATCTTCTTCACCTGTCGTAGGAGAGATTGGGGGCATTTGTCAGTGGGGCTGCACGTGGGGTGCCAGCATTTTGAGGGAGAGCTCTCTGGGTGCATGGAGAAAGCTGCAGGATGCAGGGTTTAGTTTAGTGTTTGGCAATGATGTTGTGGTTTTGGTTGTACAGGTGTGTGTAGGGTTGCCCCCCCCGAGCTCTGTTGGTAGGGTAAGCTCCTGGGTTCTCTCCCCAGCCCCTCACCTTGAGCTTCTGCTTCTCGGTCAGCAGGTTGTTGTCCTCATCACGCTCATACAGGGTGATCAGCACATTCTTCAGCCAGTCCCGCATGCGCAGGGGAAACTCTGTCAGCTCAGTGTCCAGGCAGGCAGGGATGACTGGAAGCCGCAGACAGTGGTCAGCACCCTCCCTCCCTGTCCTTGAGCCCACTTGGACTTCTGCTTAACCCCTGGGCTAAGGAGCTGTGCTCAGGATAGCCATCCTTTTGACCAAAGCAAGGATCCCACTTACATTTGCAAGGCCCAATGTAATCCAGGTGCAGCTTGTGTCCCTTCTTGGTTCCCTCCAAGGTGCACTTGGTGGCAAAGAAGTGGCAGGAGGAGTCATAGGTCTTGTTGTCAGTGCCGCAGACCTGCACAGGATGGGGAGATGCTGTGTGAGAGCCTCCAGAAGAGGCACATGACTTCTTCTCTGGGACCAGCCACCTCTGGAGCCAGCTGTGCCCCTTGGCGTGTCCCTCCGTGCTCCCACCCATCACCCAGCTTCAGCCCTCACCTTCTCAAAGATGCCGGAGGTGGCTGGGCAGCTGGAGGGGTCCTGGCACACACACATGGGTGAGTTGTTGTCGTCCACCTCGCACACCTTGCCGTGCTTGCAGTGATGGTTCTGGCAGGGATCTGGGACAAGCCAGGGAGTGATGTCAGAACCTGCCCTGTGCTCCCCCCAGGGAAACAGATTCTATCCTTTGGGCTTTTCCTGGGCTGCTTTGGAGTGACTGTGTGTCTCCTACCAAAGGAAGGAATAGCATCTCCACCTGCTAGAGGGAAAAAGCTGTGGGGCATGGGAAGAGTGACTCACTCTCTGCGACGATCTCCTCTACATCTTTTGTAGGCTCCTCAAACTCTCCCACCTCCACCTGGACAGGATTGGCTCCTACAGGCTCCTGCAAAAGAGGGCAATGTGTCCATGGGGTGTGCACAGCCCCCGCTGCCCTGTGCTTTGGAGATGCTTTGTAAGAGCTGATGCAAAAACTTCTTCAGGCAAACATTGATGCCTGGAGGAAGAAACCTGAGAAACATGGCTGATTTCCACTATGGGGAATTTCCACAGCACAAGGGAGAGCTTTCCAAGCCTTTTGCTCTTCCCAGGGCAGTGTGTGCCATGAGGGATGGGTGATAGGGTTGCACCTACCTCTGTGGTGAGATCTTCAATCACCTCCGTCTCATCAGGCAGAGCCTCTTGCTGCAGGGAAAAAGGACAATGAGCTCGGGGCTGTGGGTACAATGATCCCCAGGTGGTCACAGCCTGGGGCAGGTGGCAAGGTTACCCTTGGATCTCCGCCTCCCCCATCCTTTGGGGACTACAGAAAAGCTGCTCTGTCCTTCCCATGGTGGGGGTGGGGTCCCAGTTTTATTCATGGTAAAAGAATTGGATGCATCGGGAGTCAGACACATCCCGGTTAAGTGCAGCAGAGAGGGAGGTTCCATTACTCACCGGAGCTGCCAGGGCTTTGCCTGCCAGGCAGAGGAGGAAGAAAATCCAGGCTCTCATCTTTCAGCAGACCCTGAATAAAGGGGAGGAAGAAGAGGGATGAGCAGTGAGGGTACTGCAGCTCCCTGTGCCTCTCAGCTCCAGGCTGAGCTCACAGCTGGCAGTAAGACACACAGAGGAGGGTGCTTTCTCTATTTCCTGCCTTGTCTGGTCAATGCTGCAGCTCTACTTGCTGGCTTTGCTGGCTGAAACCTTAGGCCAAATACTGTTTCCAAGACAAATTATTTTTATTTTGCAAAGTGAGAAGGTGAGGGCTTAGATTTTCATTGCTTTCCAGGATGCATTAGAAGAATTGCACGAAGATGGCTGTTCACCTTTCCCTCACAGGAATTATTTCAGACAAAAAAAAAAAAGTGCTAAAAGCCCCTGTTGAGAGCCCCAGGAGCAGGCAGTGAAAGTCTCCATGATTTTGTTTGTCATTCAGAGAAAGTGGAGGAAGGAAAGAGAGAACAGAAGGGCAGACTGCTTGAAGATTACATCTCCTAGAAAAATGCTTTCCACTTGGACTCAGACATCTGTAGGGTGGCAGGGATCAGGCATCCATCTCTGGCACCCCAAATGCTGGAGTTTCTGCTATGCTTTTTCTCTTTCCTGCTCAGACCTGAAGGTCCCAAACTGGCTTGGAGGGCTGGGATGTGATCTGGAAGGAGAGCTGCAGCTGTGAGCTCACCCTGTGTGCCCCCTGCTTCCTGTTTGGCAGGATGGAGCCCCTCGGCTGGGTGCTGGATATGCCAGCAGCATCCCATGCCCCCCACTGGGATACCTGCTCCTTCTACCTGCTGGGGTGATGCTTTCACTACCACTGAAGTCAGTTCTCCTACTGTGGCTCCCTTTACTCCCCCTGCATGGATGTGGCTAGGGGCAGCCCTCTGCTTTTATTTGCTTAATAGGCTGTTGAGGGCCCTGCCTGGACCTGACTGAAATGGCTGGCTCTGCCCTCCTGGTGAGGTGGTTTTTGGGAGAGGAGGTGGAAAAGTACTGAATGTGGCCATTTCCTCCCTTGCTGCCGTCCCCTGGCTTGTAAGGGCTGCTTCTGGGCTTCTCCCAAGGGGCTTGTTTGACTTGGAAGGTGCTATGAGGTTCAGTGATGCTCTGTGGGCAGAGCCCAGCCTGGAGGAGAGGCCATGGCATGTGCACGTGGAAGAAGAACCCAACCCCAGACCAAGGCCCTCTCAGATAATTTCCCCAAGCTCCTAAAGCACTGAGTTTCAAAGTCTGGGCATGCAGTGAGCCGGGGTCAGGGAATTACATGCTTGCTAGGAGCCAGCAGACAGCTGGAGCTGTCGGTGTTGTGTTTGGAGGAAGAAGGAGCATGAAGGAGTCTGAGCAAACAACTTGCTGAGGCGTCCCATGCCAGAGATAGGAAAACAAGTTTATTTGAAAAACAACATCTTCCTGGAGTCAGAGGCTGCACACAGAGGACATTGCAGTATTTGTGAGACCCTGACTGTTTTGCAAGGGCACAGCCTTTCCTGAATGCCTGATGGCCAGAACCCCTGA